AACACACCTGATGACATCACTGCGTGTTAATTACAGTTTTATGCAGTGGGTAGGTGGGGGAGTGGGGAGGGGGTAACGAGAGGTTCAAAATGCATGTTTCTGTGGCAACCACACGAAGGATGTGGAGCTGCATCTGTGTTGCCGTGGTAACTATCACAGCAGCGATGCAAAGCCGATTTAAAAAGAGAAAGAACCAGAGAAGAAGAGCAGCGCGCTGGGTTCTTCTTCTGCTGCGGCTCTGCGAGCGCTCGCACAGCGCGTGGTCAACACGTCACTGCACAGTCACCGTTTAGGAAGACGTTCAATGAACCGAACCTCTGAGTTCATCTAATGTCCACACGAGGGCAGCCTCCAGCGGGCGGGTGACTAACCACGCTCCTAACACCTGCTGGAGTCAGTGCTTGGAAACAAGCACCATCCTAAACCTTCAACGGTCCAATCAGCACGCAGTAAAATCATGTGAAGGTTGTCAGAGTCGTTTTCAGTTTTAGAACAACAAACTCTTTTTGCTAGGCCACCGTTTGTTTGACAAGAAAATCTACGCAGCTGTTTCTGTGTGTTTGGACACGTAAACGATGTTTCGAATCACTGAAAACTGATTTTTTAAAACTTTTTTGCGTTTACGTGTGGACGAGGAATACAGAGCTCATCACGCAGCGTCAAAGGTATGTGTCTTTATTCACGCCACGCTGTGGCCACGTTATTGTTTACATGAGATGAATCGCAGAATGACAGATAGAGACAAAATACTGTTAATCTGACTGTCTGCAGGTTTTACACACAGTTACTGTCCCTCTGTTTACAAAGGCAGAGGCGTCACGCTGTCATTATTTTACATGTTGTTTTTTCCTGTGTAATAATGTTCAACATTGCTGTCAATACATTTTTCAAAAAATGTCTCTCTGTGCAAAATAGGTTTAAAAACATAAACAGCTGTTTGTCAGTGATTTAAACAGCCCAGCGCTGCTCCTGACGCAGGGAAACCAGTCCTGCAGGGAGACCTACCTCTGCACCTGTGCAGGTGAAGCCAAAGGGAAGATTTGCTTCACCATATTTTCTAGTCTTTGGCTCAGAATGAAGTTGGTTTGGAAACATATTCAGTGATGCTTCATCTCCTGCTTTGTGTTTGTGTGGGCGCCGTGCTAGCAGTGTCCAAGCGTTGTTTTTTCTTTCCTTTTTTTTTAAATTCATCCCCCCCCCCCGCCCCACACTTTGGGAACCTCTGTGTTACCAGCAGGTGGAAGTCAGGAGGCTGAGCACACAGCGCCCCCTGTTGTTGTCCTGACTGTGTCCATCCTTTATATCCAGTCTGTGTAAACATGAAGCCTCCTGATTATTGACTGTGTTGTTGACAGCCGTGATTTTGGATCCTCCATCATCACATCGTGTCCTCCTCGCGCTCAGCACGGAGCAGCTCCATCTGTTGATGAAGGTCATGTGATGCAGATCCTCCCAGCAGCCAATAAACAGGTGACACGTCACGCTGGTCGTTAGATTTAGTGTCGGTGTCATGCTGAACATTTTCAATCAATGACAGAGAAACGAACAGAGGACGAGATTTCCGACGCTCGTGCCCGCGCTCCTGTGGCTGTCGGTCCCTCTCCTCCGCCTGTGAACGCGCGGGACGCTGGGAGCGCGCGTCAGTGATCCAAGGACAGAGCGGAGGGGCTCGTGAGCATCAGGTCACCTGGAATTCCGCGAGCGTACCGAATCGGAGGAGACCCGGACCCGGAGCAACAGCACCGACCCGGGAGAACCGGGCTGTCCGTGACGCTCCGACCCGGACCCCAGCGATCTCGGTGTCACGGGGCTCCGACGGCTCTCTGTCATAAACAACAGCAGACTCAGACCCACGGACACACCGAACCGGGCCCACGGAAACACGGGAGGACAAAACAGAAATCAACAGGAGGCCGAGTAACGGATCCAGGACCCGCAGGACCGGATCAGTGAGTGTTTATTGTGCTGTCAATGTGCTG